CAAGATTTCAAGAGTTTTCAAGGACTTCAACAGTTTCAAGGACTTCAGCAGTTTCAAGGACTTCAGCAGTTTCAAGGACTTCAGCAGTTTCAAGGACTTCAGTGTAATCATGCAACCTAATAGGGATTTTTCCATGTAAACCAGTATAATGCAACTTAATAGGGATTTTTCCATGTAAACCAGTATAATGCAACTTAATAGGGTTTTTTCATGTAAACCAGTATAATGCAACTTAATAGGGATTTTTCCATGTAAACCAGTACAATGCAACTTAATAGGGATTTTTCCATGTAAACCAGTATAATGCAACTTAATGGGGATTTTTCCATGTAAACCAGTATAATGCAACTTAATGGGGATTTTTCCATGTAAACCAGTATTATGCAACTTAATAGGGATTTTTCCATGTAAACCAGTATAATGCAACTTAATAGGGATTTTTCCATGTAAACCAGTATAATGCAACTTAATGGGGATTTTTCCATGTAAACCAGTATTATGCAACTTAATAGGGATTTTTCCATGTAAACCAGTATAATGCAACTTAATAGGGTTTTTTTCATGTAAACCAGTATAATGCAACTTAATAGGGTTTTTACATGTAAACCAGTATAATGGAACTTAATAGGGGTTTTTACATGTAAACCAGTATAATGGAACTTAATAGGGGTTTTTACATGTAAACCAGTATAATGCAACTTAATAAGGATTTTTACATGTAAACCACTATAATGTAACCTAATAGGGGTTTTTACATGTAAACCAGTATAAAGCAACTTAATAGGGATTTGTACATGTAAACCAGTATAATGCAACCTAATAGGGATTTTTCCATGTAAACCAGTATAATGCAACTTAATAGGGATTTTTCCATGTAAACCAGTATAATGCAACTTAATAGGGATTTTTCCATGTAAACCAGTATAATGCAACTTAATAGGGATTTTTCCATGTAAACCAGTATAATGCAACTTAATAGGGATTTTTCCATGTAAACCAGTATAATGCAACTTAATAGGGATTTTTCCATGTAAACCAGTATAATGCAACTTAATAGGGGTTTTTACATGTAAACCAGTATAATGCAACTTAATAGGGTTTTTTCATGTAAACCAGTATAATGCAACTTAATAGGGATTTTTCCATGTAAACCAGTACAATGCAACTTAATAGGGATTTTTCCATGTAAACCAGTATAATGCAACTTAATAGGGTTTTTTTTTTTTACATATAAACCAGTATAATGGAACTTAATAGGGTTTTTTTTCATGTAAACCAGTATAATGCAACTTAATAGGGATTTTTCCATGTAAACCAGTATAATGCAACTTAATAGGGTTTTTTCATGTAAACCAGTATAATGCAACTTAATAGGGATTTTTCCATGTAAACCAGTATAATGCAACTTAATAGGGGTTTTTACATGTAAACCAGTATAATGCAACTTAATAGGGGTTTTTCCATGTAAACCAGTATAATGCAACTTAATAGGGTTTTTTTCATGTAAACCAGTATAATGCAACTTAATGGGGATTTTTCCATGTAAACCAGTATTATGCAACTTAATAGGGATTTTTCCATGTAAACCAGTATAATGCAACTTAATAGGGTTTTTTTCATGTTAACCAGTATAATGCAACTTAATAGGGTTTTTTTCATGTAAACCAGTATAATGCAACTTAATAGGGTTTTTTCATGTATAATGCAACCTAATAGGTTGCATTATACCACCAGACCAAGACCCAAACGAAGACTCAGACCACCACCAGATAATGACCACAGACCAGGTTTCCTTAGTTACAGGAACCAAATTGTTTCAGCGGTGAGGGGATTTTTCAGTTTCAAGGACACTTTCAATACATTCAGTAGTTTCAAGGATTTCAGCTGTTTAAGAATTTAACCAGTTTCAAGGATATCAGGAGGTTCAAGGATTTCAGGAGTTTCCACACTTTCAACAGTTTCCAGGTTTAAAAAAGTTTCAAGGATTTCAGGAGTTTCAATGTTTCAACAGTTTCAAGGATTTCAGGAGTTTAAAGGTTTCAACAATTTCAAGGACTTCAGGAGTTTCAAATATCTATCAAGTATTTTAACAGTTTCAAGGCTTTTTAAAGGATTTCAAGGATTTTTTTTAGCAGATTTCCACATTAGATCTGTTCCGCAGTCAATCGCAATGGCTTCAGCCATTGCAAGTTTCTAGTTATTATTGTTATTTTTTTGGTTGTATTTTTACGCACGTGCCCATTGCATTAAAACTTCTATGTGGATTCATTAGAGGTGCATTCTTTAATTAACTGCTTTCATCTGTTTTTATTAAAAATGATCTTTGTGCGCGCGCAATATTCCACGTCTCTGTCTTTCTCTTTTTTCTCCTCTCCCATAATGCAATTTTTCTAATGCCGTCTGCAAATGATGTAATACGACTTTAAATGGGCTGTAAATATGAAATAAAAGCATGCTCAACTTTTCACAAGTCCACCGTGACTCGTGGACACACACACGCGCACACACACTCAAAAATACACACACACACACACACACACACACACACACACACAGAGAGAGACACATACACACAGACGCACAGAGAGAACGAGAGAGAGACACACACACTGAAAGAGTGAGAGAGACTTGCACAGAGACAGATACAGAAACACACTCACAGAGAGAGACAGAGACACACACACACACCCAAAGAGAGAGAGAGACACACACACACACACACACACACACTCACACTCACACTCACAGAGAGAGTGAGACACACGCTCACACACAGAGAAAGAAAGAGAGACACACACAGAAAGAGAGAGTGAGAGACACACTCTCACAATGAGATAGAGACTCACACAGAGACAGATACAGAAACACACTCACACAGAGAGACACACACACACACTCACACTCACAGAGAGAGTGAGACACACGCTCACACACAGAGAAAGAGAGAGAGACACACAGAAAGAGAGAGTGAGAGACACACTCTCACAATGAGATAGAGACTCACACAGAGACAGATACAGAAACACACTCACACAGAGAGAGAGAGACACACACACACACTCAAAGAGAGAGAGAGAGAGACACACACACACACCCAAAGAGAGGGAGAGAGACACACACACACACTCTCTCACACACACACCTCATTGCTGCCATTACATTACATTACATTAAAATCCATATTCCTCAGATCGAGAACGCGCCCACGCTCTTTACCTTTTTAATCCCACACACAGATTAAATTAGATTATTTTAGATGATTTTATCCTTCACTGCAGCAAACCCCGGGGTCAATATCTCATTCAAATGCCCCTTGCCCCGGTGCTCCCCATCCATTATCATCCCCGGGACCTGCTCAGGCTCCGGCGGTGATTAAGCAGCGGCTCTGGGGCTGCAGGACTGCGGTGTGACGCTCCGGTTCCTCTGGTCTCCGGCAGCGGGGAGGCCTCACGGTGGAAGCCCGGGGATGGCGTCTATATGCACGGCACGTATCCGCCCGCACACACGCCACAAGAAGCCCGGAGTAATGAAATATGAATTTATGAATGTTGACAATTAAGGTACCGTGAGCTCTCATGCGCGGAGAGGCCTGCGCGGAGAGAGAAATGGGTTCTGCTTTGATTTGGGGTTGGTTTGTGCTGAGAGGAAGAGAAGGAGGTGGCAAAAACGGGGTTAAATCTAGATCAGACTTATGTTTATTTTTTTAAATTATTTTTTTGTCTTCCTGATGTGCTTGTGTGCAGGATTATGGTTTAAATGTACTTCAGACATGCACAAGATTGACCGATTACAAATATCTGTACAGTGGATGAAGAAAAAAATAAATAATAATAATACATAAACACACACACACATGGCCCAAAACCCTCTCTGACCCTACACCTCTCTCTCCTTACGCTCAGGACATCCCTCTCCTCCCTCCACCACTTCTTAAAAACTTATTTAACTTAGTTTTTTTATCGAATCAAATTGAATCACATTTTCAAAGACGAGCATAAAGTCTGTGCAGATTTTGTGATGTGTTTTTGCAGAATAAAAACTATAAAAACACCTCTTCATCTCCTCTGTTTGGCCTCTGACCTCTGAGAATCTATAGTGACAATGGTTTAATTACCGCTGAGGCTGCAGATCCCAAAATGTGGTGAAGAATACATTTACTTTCCTACTTTATTGTGCTAAACTTAGAGATTTTGTTTTATTTTTAATCTAGGGATTTTACTCATTTACAGTATATACTGCTCTGTAACTGGTAATGCAACACTGACATTTCTCCGCAGTGGGACCAATAAAGGACCTCCTGATCTCTTTCTTAATACTCAAAAACAGGTTTTAACGTGTTCCGACAAATTCAAATTTTGGCCTTTTTTATACACGACAACCAAAACAGACACAGTCACATGTCCAAAGCTAGTTAGCAGTTAGCATACTAGCATTTTTACACTTTTCTCTTAAAGACACAGATGCAGTGGGATGATCCGGAGACAGTTTCAAACCTATACATTTATTATTGCGGAGAAATATGGAATATAAATGGGTGACTATTGCTGTTTTGGGTTCGTACCAACGAGAGAATATTGTAAACAATGAGGAACGACATGAGAAAGTCTGAATCTGTTTGCAGTCTGTGTTGACGTGTGTTAGATTATTTGCCAACCAATACATACATTCTAATAACTCCTGTGTTTTGTCTGATCAAGTCTCTTCAGATTGATTTGAAAATGGGGAGGCACATTTCTTCTTCTTGCTCCGACCTTCTCCTTTTGAGCCTTTTTCTTGAAACTATATACCTGTAAAAATACTTTATTGACTGCTCAAATAAGCTACTACTACTGCTACTTCTAAGCCGTATACACACAGTAAGAATGTCTGAAAATGACTGATATTGCAGATTTATTCCAATCCAAGGTCGACGGCTCCTTCCGCCGCAGATCACACATAATGGAACCATCAGGCCACAATCCACATTTATCTGTGTAGCGCTCGGAGATAAACGACACAGATTATGCAAATGCTGGTGTTGTGAGAGTCGTGGAGCTGATCTCCAGTGAGATGAGCCTGGAGTTGATGGTCTTGGTCCAGTGAGAGGAGCCTGGAGTTGATGGTCTTGGTCCAGTGAGAGGAGCCTGGAGTTGATGGTCTTGGTCCAGTGAGATGAGCCTGGAGTTGATGGTCTTGGTCCAGTGAGAGCAGCCTGGAGTTGATGGTCTTGGTCCAGTGAGATGAGCCTGGAGTTGATGGTCTTGGTCCAGTGAGAGGAGCCTGGAGTTGATGGTCTTGGTCCAGTGAGATGAGCCTGGAGTTGATGGTCTTGGTCCAGTGAGAGGAGCCTGGAGTTGATGGTCTTGGTCCAGTGAAATGAGCCTGGAGTTGATGGACTTGGTCCAGTAAGAGGAGCCTGGAGTTGATGGTCTTGGTCCAGTGAGAGGAGCCTGGAGTTGATGGTCTTGGTCCAGTGAGATGAGCCTGGAGTTGATGGTCTTGGTCCAGTGAGGTGAGCCTGGAGTTGATGGTCTTGGTCCAGTGAGAGGAGCCTGGAGTTGATGGTCTTGGTCCAGTGAGATGAGCCTGGAGTTGATGGTCTTCGTCCAGTGAGAAGAGCCTGTAGTTAATGGTCTTGGTCCAGTGAGATGAGCCTGGAGTTGATGGTCTTGGTCCAGTGAGATGAGCCTGGAGTTGATGGTCTTGGTCCAGTGAGATGAGCCTGGAGGCGATGGTCTCTGTCCAGTGAGAGGAGCCTGGA